GATACGAACTAATCCGAGCTTTCGTCGTTCGTAAAACGGACACAGTCTCTACAGAAGATCTTGTCGAGTTTGTGAAAGGTACTGATCCTCATTCTTTCCTATGTGTGTGTGAGTGCATCCCTGCGTGTATCTATGTATGTGTGTGTGTATGTGTTTTCGATTTGCTTATAACTACTCTAGATTTCTGCATAATGCTCTGGCTGATCTGTTTTTCCTTGAGCCCTCTGGCTGTCTTCTCTTTATTCTCCACCATTTCTAACTACTAGTTTTTTTGCCTTCTATCTCCCATTAGCCTCTCCCCCATATCTCCTCTCTCTCTCTCTCTCTCTCTCTCTCTCTCTCTCGCTATCTCTATTTCTCTCTCTCTCTCTCTCTCTCTCTCTTAGAGTTCTGACTACCAGCGCTATTGCGTCCTGGTGCTGGGTAAACCAAGAGTGTTTATCAAGGAAATCAGTGGCCGACATGTCTGGTACATCAACATGGGGAATGGACTCTCTAATATACGGCCTTCGTGTGTCTCCATTGCGTTGGCGTTTCTATGATAGCAACTCCTAAATGTTACACAGGCAGACTCTCCTTCTCTCTCTCTCACTCTCTCTCTCTCTCTCTCTTTCTCTCTCTCTCTCTCTCTCTTTCTCTCTCTCTCTGATCAAATTTGTAAGATGAAGTTAGAAGTCCTAGAAGTAGCTCATGATATCATGATTATAGCCCTTGCTCGTCGTCGATCTAATGTTATGGCTACTACGAATATATGAAGGTAAATATATACGTAAAAAAGAGAAATTGCAAACGACTACCGATTTTCCAACGCGTCGTGATGATATAACACCGAATGAACTGGTTAACGTATATTGTGAACCTATAAATCGTAGCGGATGAGATAAAGAATGTCAAATAAAGATAACTCCAGTCACGTGTCCTTCTTCTTTGCATATTTGAAATTTTTTATCAATTCCCGTTTAATCAACGACCTTGATTGAAAATAAATGTACATACGCGTGCACCCCTCCCACATATATATACATATATATTCGATTATTTCAAGAGCTAATATGATGTATGATTAATGTATAACCACTAATATAGCATAATTTTCCAGTTTTCCCGTTAGACGCACTATGTAGGCCTACTATTAGCTATTGATTATGTGAATATATAGAAATTCTCCGTTAAGATACAGAGCGCAGACTCACGAGTAGTTTGATATAAAAAAGGAATTGCTAGGGTGGGCGAACGGATTGAGATCATTCAAGTACACGTGCACGTAAAGTTGGCTTGTAATTTACTGTATACGCCGTATTTCTCGCGTACAGATATTTTCGCCAATTCAGATTTGACAGACAATTTTGCGAGTGGTTACTTTCGCGGTCGGTGAATTATGAATTATTCGGTATGAACTATTCGCGTGTTGTTATTTTCGCGGTCGGAGACGCGTTCGCAAAATTCGAAATTTAAACCACCGCGAAATATACAGCGTATACATGCAGTACGCCACACATTCAGGCAGGCAAGCAGTACGTCAGATTGCATCACCCACACTCTTCAAGACGGTAGCTAACTCATTTGTGTGTGCGTTTGGGGGGTGGGGTGGTGTAAATCCAAGTGCGGTGTCCGGGTGGTTTTACTTATGTTAAACATATTATCAAGAGTGCATAATGCTCTATTATGCACTCTTGATATTATGCTGATGGATTGAAAGTAATGGTATTTTAATGATATATATATATATGTGTGTGTGTGTGTGTGTGTGTGTGTGTGTGTGTGTGTGTGTGTGTGTGTGTGTGTGTGTGTGTGTGTGTGTGTGTGTGTGTGTGTGTGTGTGTGTGTGTGTGTGTGTGTGTGCGTGCGTGCGTGCGTGCGTGCGTGCGTGCCAGCGCGTGTGTGTGTGTATAATGATTACATAATGTAAGAAGATATATAATAATAAGAATATAGTTAATAAGAATAACCAAGATGATATTAGTGTCTAGCTGTGTCACAGCGTTGTAATGTTGGCAGCTCGTAACCTTTCTTTACTAGACTGACGATCAGTGGAGGAATGCAGAATATATAGGTGGCCTGGGTTTAAATGTAATGAAATCATTGAAGGTAAAATATTGAACAGGTGTGAACATATTAATATGATACATTATGCATTCACGACGCGCACACGCACGCACACACACGCACGCACGCACGCACACACACATACTATATACATGTAATAATGTGACACTTAATTTCAATTTTTTCTACGCGCATAAGCCATTCGACATTTTTAAAAGGTTTATAATATATTCAATAAGGCATAACAAACCATTATAGCCTTTATTCAATTAAAATACAAACAGTTAGCACTACGGCTATAGCCACCGTACATAAGGTATAAACATTCCGGTCAAATGTCAATGGTCATTGAATGAATGAAATAGTTTTTAATTAATATTTATAATGAGTTACACACGAAATCCATTGATAAGACAGTCTTCGGCTATATTTAGCTGTTACCAAAAATGTGAGATTATTCTGTACGAGAACGCAAATATTTGTAGCCAACTCTCTATAATCGATATTGATAACGCGTTCCAGACCACAGACACTTGGGCCTTTCATCAAATAAAGTGACTAAGAAAATGATAAAGAAAGATCTTTCCGTAAGTGTGTGAACAGTGGCGTGCGTGCGGTGCATGAGATTGTGTGCTGTAGAGGAGCTTTTTAACGACATTTAAGTGGAATTATTAGGCGGTCGATAGTGCATGAACACCATAAGTTTATTATTAAATACAATCTGTATTTATATGTCATCAATTTATTGTTAAAACCCAATCAAAGCCCAATTAAGTGTTCTTTTCTACCACGAGTCCCGCTCCCAAGCCATTATTTATGATCTCGGATTCAATGGTTCTTGATTGATTATAATTCGAGAGTGATGGGAAGAAATGAGCATGCGTACGTGGCAGACACTACGTGGGCCACTTACAGCTACTTTTAGCATTCGCGGTACTAAGTACTGGTGCTGGTGTTGTTATCTATATAATAATTTGAGTAGTGTCGTTCTGTTTGTTCCTGATAACTTCTAGCGCGTGCACGAATCCGGCTGAAATTTTCGTGCTTCATTCCTACGCATCAGGTCGATTCTAACACTTTGCTTTTTGTTATTCATTGGGTTATATGTTAAAAAAACACATTTAGAAAATATATGGAAAATCTCCCTGGAAAACATGCACGATTCAGTTCACTTCCGCTCGGTGCGCTGGCTGTAGACATCTCGTGGGCGGC